GCATGCTGGAAACTTGAGGCAAAGCCTGAACCCCAGCTTCCGCCCCAGCTGCCCTGGTTTCGTGTGTTGGGGGGGCACGCCGCCGTGGCCTGCCGTCAAGCGCAGGTCGGCCGTCCCCAGGGACGACCGACTCAGCTGCCCTTGGGGGCGTGGTTGGGGGTGGCGGGGGTCACGCCGCCGTGCCTGGCCTGCAAGTCGCAGGTCCACCTCCCCAGGAACGACTCTGACCCAGGTGCCCTGGGTGTGCGTTGGTTGGGGGTCACGCCGCCGTTGCCTGGCCTCAACTCCGCAGGCCGCCGTCCCCAGGACGACCTGACGCAGTGCCCTTGGTGCTGCGTGTGTTGGGGTGGCGTGGGGTCAACGCCGCCTGTGGCCTGGCCTTAATCGCAGTTCGCCCTTCCCCAGACAACCGACCCAGCTGCCTCACCACGATGGCATCAAAGGAGAGCCTGCGCCAGTCCGCCCGGACGCTGTCTCCCGCCGGCTGCAGGAGGACATGCAAGCTCCCGGACGGCCGGGTCATCCCAAAGGGCGCGCCCCGCCCCTGCCGCCCGCGCCCCGCCCCTCGCCCGCGCCCGCCCCTGCGCCCGCGCCCGCCCCTGCCGCCCGCGCCCGCCCTGCCGCCGGCCCGCTGCGCCCCGCCCGCCCCTGCCGCCGCGCCCGCCCTGCCGCGCCCGCCCCTGCCCGCCCCGCCCTGCCGCCCGCGCCGCCCTGCGCCGGCGCCCGCCCTGCCGTGTGGCTGTCCTGGCCCAAGGGGGCCTGCCAGTGCCCTCCGGCGTCCTCCCTGAGGACGGGGCAGCTCCCGCGTTGCCTGTGCTTCCGGGCGTATACGGACCCCGCTGTGCCCCCGCTGGGGAGAACTTGAGCGGCCAGTCCGGCGCAAAGAAGAAGCGGTGAGGGGCAGTGGCCAGGCGAGCAGCGTGCGGCGCAGAGGATCAGCTTCACCCACTCGCGAAATCCCCCGGAGCCAGCGCCGCTGGCATCGGGCAGCGGTGAGGGTGGGGAGCGAGCAGCAGCAGGAGCAGGTTGCAGACGCTCCCAGGAATGAGCCAAGGACCGAAGCAGCCCAAACTAGGGAGGCGGCTCTACCTGGGAGGAAAGCAGGAGGGCTGCTGGAGGAAGGACCGGGCGGTGAGCCTTGGAGGTCGGAAGGAGACAGAGAGAGAGAGAGAGAGCATGTTCATTGAACAGTAGCCTCGGGAATGCAGAGTGCGAAAGGACCCTCACTGCCAGGTGGTAGCAGTCGAACTGGATTCTTCAGGGCGCGTTAGGAGTCCCAGGGAGCGTTGAGTCGAGGAGAGCAACGCAGATCTGGGGAGAAAATAGTCTGCGGTGGCCGCGTGGCCGCCAGAAAGGGAGATGGCTCTTAGAACCGCCGGGGAGCGGATCGGGAGCAGCATTTTCCAGGGCAGAGGACAGCCGTGGTGGCAGGGCTCTATGAGATGCCCAGCTCCAGAGACCCAGGGGAAGGAGGTTTCTGGGGAAGCTTCTGCGGTCCCCTGGCCCCACTGACCCCATTCTCCCAGAAGCATCTGTCTGTCAAGCAGCTACGGAACCACCCACAACCCCACGTGTGCCCGACTCCAAGTGAGCTGCTGCCCCAGCAGCCCTCTCGCCCTCCCGGGCTCCCTCCCCAGAAAGGCAGCCCTGCAGCGGGCCTCCCCCCCCCACCCGGGGAGCCAGCAGCAGGCTGGTTGCAGAGACCGCCCCTCCCCTGTATTCACCCGCTCACATTCGCAGGTGCACCAAATTACTGAGCGACTGTGCAGCCCCGTGCTGGGCGGTGAGGACCGGGTGGCCTCCACACAGCTCACAGCGGATCAGGGGAGCCAACGCAATAATATGGTCATTTGGTAGGATACATCAAAAAAAAAAAAAGAAAAAAAACGACGGGGGGGCACTGTGCCGTGGGGGAATGCTTTGCGGAGGAGAGAAGTTCGCGGAGCCCCGCGGGGGTGGAAAGGAGCAGGGAAGCACGTCCCCCGGCAGATGGAAACAGAAGCAAAAGGCCCTGGGGGGGAAGGAGCTGGGTGTGCCGGCCAGCGAAGAGGCATTGCGCCGCATTGCCGCGAGGAGTGGGAGGAACGGGAGAGGCGGTCCGGCGTGCCGCGGGCTGGTCCCAGAGGCGGAGGCGCGGAAAGCCAGCCGGGAGCTGGGCCAGCCAGGCTCACCCTGGACTGTCCCGCCCAGGTGTACAAACCCCTACCGCTTTGACCGGACAACCCGCGCAGCGTCCCGCGGCCTTCGCCCCTTCTCTGCAGACCCAGGTACCCCACCCCAACCCCGTTTCCCCAGAGCGAGCCAGGCTGGAGAGCAGAGCAGTGGAGCGGCGATCGCGGCCAGTGGGGCGCGGAGACCACGTCCGCCCGCAGCCCGGCACCTCTTTGCGCCCCGCAGCACACAGAGAGCCCCCCCCCCACAACGAGACCTGCATTAAGCGTCCCTGAGTGGCGCCGACTGCGTGCCAGCCCTGAGTCCTGGCTCGCGAGCTCCCAGCGTTCTCCTGCGATGTCATCGTCCCTGTTTACAGAGAGGAACTGAGGCTCGCGTCGGAGGTCATAGCCCGGACACCAGCGGTGCGGGCGCGCCAGGATTCAAACACACTCGTCCCTAATCACATCGTTTAGTGATTCTTGGGCCTCAGCCCAGCCAGATGCTGGTTTGCTCGTTTTAGACACGAGGAGGCACTGAGCCCAAACCTCCCCTCCCCCGACCCCTCCCCCGCCCTGGCCCTCCGACCGCCCTGCGGGTGGCCTGAGCGCCCGTGCCCCCGCAGGAAACGCATCGGACAGAGCTTCGCCAGTCCGAGATGCGTGCGGCGCTCACGCTGCTGCGCTTCCGCCTGAGCGTGACCGCACGCGCAAGGTGCGCGGAAGCCCGGAGCTCATCCTGCGCACGTTGAGAATGCATCTGCTCAACGTGGAGCCGCCCTCCGCGGGCCTACGAGGGCGCCGCTGCGGATCCCGGGGGTCCAGCCCTCCAGAGAGGCCGGCCCCGCCCCACGCCAAGCCCCGCCCCCAACACCTGCGGCAGAGACCGCTGCCTCTGAGTCCATGGTTCTGCTCCTGTAGACCGGGCGCGCTGTCCATGCAGTCTCTGATGGCGGCCACGCCTCAAGGCGAGGCTCCGCCCCCTGAGCGGTCTGAACCCGCCCTTTAAATTTAGCCCCGCCCCGACGGCCCAAGCCCCGCCCCCAACATCCTGGGCAGAGACCGCTGCTCTCCGAGGTCCAGGTGTCCCGCCTGTAGGACCGGCCACCGCCTTATGTCTGGCCACGCCCCTCAGGCGAGCCCCCCCCCGAGGTCTGACCCCGCCCCTTGAGGTTGTAGGTCCCCGCCCCTGAGTGTCTGTCACCTGTTCCCTGAGGAACCAACTCGCCACGCCCCTGGGAAGCAGCCACGCCCCTAGGAGCTCAGCCCCGCCCCCAGATACGGTGGCTGTCCTTGGCCTCACCCCGCGGAGCCAGGTCCCCGCAGGCTGTGCCCACCAAACCTCCAAATGACCTGAGAACGCACCGCGCTCCTGGGCTGCCTCCCAGGCGGCTCCTCAGGCGAGGACTTGGAGGCTGCGAGGTGACAGCCTGAACCGGGACGTCGCTAATGGCGAACCGCTCAGCGCGTCCCAGGACCGGGCTGTTGCTCTGTCCTGTTTCCTAAAACCGACCCCTCCCGACCTCCCCTGTCAAGGCCCGTGCTGAGGTCTGAGGGTGGGGGGGTTTGCAGAATAAAGCAAGGCTCTCGTACCCGCTCGCCCTCCAACCCCTGGTCAGCAGCCTGCACCTGACCCTGCACGCAGAACGAGGGGCCGGGACAGGTGTGAAGCAACCCGTGTGGGAGCCTGGGCTGGCTGGCGCTGGAAGCCACTGTCCTAGACATAAACCCAGATGTTTTTGGGAACACTTGTGCCTGGTCATTTCTGTCAGAAGGTCGCAGGCCTGTGAGTGTTGCTGGCCCCGGGCGGGTGCGCGGACAGCCCCGTCCCGCCTGCAGAGGGTGCTGAGCGAGAGCAGTTCCACGTGGAATGTTATTGCACCCACGGCCAGCGGCTGCAGAGGAGAGGGCCATGGGGCTGGTAGCCTAGCAGTGGGTGGGAGCCGGCGGGAAGCCGTTGGACTGAAGGAGGAGAAGTCGAGGGGACAAGGGGGAGGAAGGAGCATTCCAGGCGGAAGAGCAGCGTCGCAAATGCCTGAAGCTGAGGGACAGCACAGTGGCTGCAGAATCTCCAGGCGGCGGGGATCCGGGGGAGTTTGGGCAGGTGGAGGCAGGCTGGGCATGCCACGTCCACAGGCAACAGGAGCCATCGGGTTTGTTGTGGTGGGGGAGCAGGCAGGCGGGACATGCAGATAAGGCGGGGAGTGTTCCGTGGGGGCGACTGGAGCTGGACCCGGGAAGAGGGAACTGGAGGTCTAGCGAACAGAAGGCTGCTGGACGGAGGGGCCTGGATCTAGCCATGGAGGCCGAGGGAGAAGGCACGTGGCGGACACCAGTCCTTGGGACTCGATGTGGAGTAGTCCCTAGGATGCTATAGAAGTGGCATGAGTTCTGAGGGCCATAGGACTGGGGCGCCCCGCTGAACCTCAGCCTGGCGACAGAGCCAGGCACGGCTCGAGCCCGAGCGGCTTAAACTTCAGGAGAAACGAATGATTAAACGTAAAGAAGAGTAATTGCAAAGGCCTTATATTGACCTTCGGAAACGGGAGCCCTGATGGCCTAGCAGAGAGGGTAAAGTGGTAGAGCAGCCGGCCTTCACGCCTGTCATCCTGCTCTTCTGGATAGGGGCGAGCGAGGACGCTCGATGTCAGGATTCGAGACCAGCCGAGCAATGAGCGAGACCCTCTCTCTACTAAAAAAAAAAAAAAGAGAAAGAAAGAAATGAATTGATTCTCT